GGGGCCACCTTGATGGGTTCCGCCTTTGGGGGCTGGCGGGGGGGGGGGGGGATACAAGACCTCTAGCACTGAGAACAGATGCCATCTGTACTGAATCAGCTGCTGCTGGCCTCATAGTATACACATCAAATCCAAACCGCACTGGGGAAGTAAGAAGATAAGTGCTAAAATTAAGTTGAGCCATGTAAGAAGATATGCATAAATCACTTAATTTGTGTAATTACTCTGATTGCAAAATGCTAGATTTGTTTTTTTCCTTCTTCACCTGTGCCAGGTGGGGAAATACAAGACAGAAGTATAGTAATGCTTGACATGCTGGTACATGTTATGGGAACTTCCACGACATACTGACACCAATCATTTCAAACTGGCCTGCAAGAAGAGGTTGTGGTTGGCTTTATCATTCATATATATATATATATATATATATACACATATACACACACATACAGAAGTCATTTTGTAGAAAAACAGCTGCAGGAGCTCATTAGCATAACTTATTAGCATATGCCACACCCCGTGACATCACCGGAAGTGTGCACCAGCCCCTCTGACAGGCAGAAGCACCTGGGATCCATTCTTTCCCCCCTCCCTTCCCTTCGCCTCCAAGTTGGGCGAAGGTAAAGGACAGGGGGAGGATCTCAGGCGCTTCTGCCTGACAGAGGTGCTGCCGTGCCCACAGCCAGCCTGGGTGAATTATTGAATCATAGACTCATAGAGTGGGAAGGGACCTCCAAGGTCATCTAGTCCAACCCCCTGCACAATGCAGGAAATTCACCAATACCCCCCACACACACCAGTGACCCCTGTTCCACGCCCAGAATATGATTTAAAAACCCTCCAGGATCACTGGGGACCAAACTGGCCTGGAGAAAAATTGCTTCCTGGCCCCAAAGTGGTGATCAGCATTTCCCTGGGCATGTAAGAAAGGGCCACAAGAACTAAGCACTAATGCAACCCTTCCTGCTCTACCTCTGTGATTTGCCTAAGTTCACACAATCAGCATTATGATCGTTTTAAAGTTGAAAGCATGATATAAATGCAAAGGACTATTTGTAAGAAAAAAACATTACTTTTTTCCCACCATAGAGAACAATGGAGTGGATAGGGGGTTGCAGAGCTTGGCCACTAAAGGGCGGGTGGCAGGGCTGGCCAGCAATTGAGCAAGATCTAGAGTGGACTGCCTATGTCGGCGCAATGTAGCAAGAGCGCCTGGCTGCTACTGAGGCAAAAGCGTCGCTCTTCCTCTGTTGTATACAAAAAGCCAAGCTGACCCTTATTGGCTGAGGTGCAGGGTTGAGAAAGATAACAGCAAAGAAAGTGGCTTAAGGGCAACAGCGGCACTTCCTCCTCCTTTGGTGGGAGCTGCTTCGCGTGCCGGCTTGCAGCCACCTTCCCAGCCTCCCACCCCACTGCAGCTTGCAGAGCCAGGGATGGGGAGCGCCTGTGGCTCCCTCCTCCGTTAATGCTATTGTATGACCCAACCACAGAAGATGCCTCTACCACCGCCGCCGTTAGTAGCACTGTTTGGATAACCCCTCCCCATGTTCTTGCCTCTGCCGCCGCTGTTTCTCAGGCCAGGATGCTGCCCTGGTTGGTGTGGGGCTGTGACCGGGGGCTCAGCAGCCACTTCCTATCCTCCCACTCTGGCCACTGGGGCTTCCCCTCAACCACTGCAGCACTGCCATGATCGGGATCGACCTCAGGACCCTTCGCTCTCTGGAGCGTCTGGCCCCTCTGTCGCCTCCCAACATACTGAGGCCCAGATGCTGGCTGCCGGTTCTGTAGGCGGGACTAAGGGAACGCAGCCACCAATGGATAGAGACACCTTGTGAATGACTCTTCAGGGAGCTAACTGATTTGGGAGCATATGGAATGTTCTGGAGAAGTGTCACACGAAAATACAATTATATATATGTGTGTGTGTGTGTATGTGTGTGTGTATGTATACACACACCCATTGGCTGTGCACTCCATTAGCCACTGGTCCATCAACCACTGCTCAAGAGTACTCGCGTGCCATTGGCTGGGGCCTGGGTCCACTCCTCTCCCTCACCCACTGCCAACTTGGCCATTCCCTGTCTGAATTAACTGCCAAAGCTGCTGTGTGGCTCACTTTCCCTTCAGTGTCTGTTGCTAGGCAACCAAGCTTGGTTCTGTCAGTAAAAAGGTAGGGACAGGAGGCCCTTTCCAGGCCTACTTTGGCCTGTGATGTGTGTGTATCTTTAAGTAGGTGGCTTTCCATTCTCTTGTGATGTATTTAACCTGATAGAATGGAGAGGGTCAGTCAATTCTCAGGTGGTGTGATGTTGTTTGTTCTCCGTTCTGGGCATCTCCTACTAAATAAAGCTGTTCCATAAACAATGACTGAGTGTTGTTGTTCACCAAATGAGGCATATTGCTACAGAACACTACATGGTGTCAGGAGTGGGATTTCGTGGGGTATAAGTGGCTCCTTTTGATTTTTCACAGCAAATCTAGCACACACATCACAGGCCTTTGTGGGGAACTCATTGGGGTGAGTCCTGACTAGGGTTGTCAGCTCCAGGTTGGGAAATTCCTGGAGATTTTGTGGTGGTGTCTACAGAAGCCAGAGTTTGGGGAGGGGAGAGACCTCAGCAGAACAGAATGCCACAGAGTCCACCCTCCAAAGCAGTTATTTTCTCCAGGGGGAGACCTAGGTTCTTGCTGTGGAAGCTGAGTGGGTGATTCCAGACCAGTCACAGACCTTCAGCCTAACCTACCTCACAAGGTTGTTGTGCAGTTCAAAAGGGGAAAAGGAGAATGATGTGAGTTGCTTTGGTCCCCACTGTGGAGAAAGATTGTACTTTTCCTAGGTAGAGGCTGCGGGGAGGAGATGAAAACCTGAAGTCAGAGTGGCAGATAATGGTACATTGATGGTTGGCTGGAAAGGAGATAGAGTTGGCAACTCCATGTTGGGAAATTCCTGGAGATTTGAGGGGTGGAGCCTGAAAAGGGTGGGGTTTGAGGAGGGGTGGGACCTCAGACAGGTACAGTGCCATAGACTCCACCCTCCAAACCAGCCATTTTCTCCTGGTGAACCATTGCTGCCAATCTCCAGGTGAGGGCTGGAGATCACTCAGAATTACAACTGCTCTTCAGATGACAGAGATCAGTTCCCCTAGAGAAAAAGGTGGACTCTGTGTCATTATACCCTGCTGAGGTCAGCACAGCAAATTGACGTTGAGTGCCCAAGGCTAGGGCACCGGCCCAGAGCCTCTTTTTAGAGTTCATTATATTTACCCTGCCAACAAAAGTCCGCATGGTCAAAGCAATGGTATTCCCAGTAGTCATGTATGGCTGCGAGAGTTGGACTATAAGGAAGGCCGAGCACCGAAGAATAGATTCTTTTGAACTATGGTGCTGGAGAAGACTCTTGAGAGTCCTTTGGACTGCAAAAAGATCAAATCAGTCAATCCTAAAAGAAATCAACCCGGACTGTTCCCTGGAAGGCCAGATAATGAAACTGAAGCTCCAATACTTTGGCCACCAAATGAGAAGGGAGCACTCACTGGAGAAGACCCTGATGCTGGGAAAGATTGAAGGTCAAAGAAGACGGGGACGGCAAAGGATGAGATGGTTAGACAGTGTCATAGATGCAATGAACATGAAATTGAGCAAACTTCAGAGGACAGCGGAAGACAGGAGGGCCTGGCGTGATCTGGTCCATGGGGTCGCGAAGAGTCAGACTCAACTGTGCGACTGAACAACAGCAAAAATATTTATTTCCACAATGAGCTTTATTCCTAGTATATATATAATTTCAGTGCTAGCTATAAATGTTGTGGATGGTTAAATGAATTAACAGCTAGAAAGGAGGGGGCAAGAGAATGATTGGTGAAGGACACAGAGCTCTTTCATGTGGTCACTAGATGTTACCGCACTAATGTAAGGGCAAAAGGGGTTGCAGGGTTTACTTGCATGTGGCTCTTTCCCATTTGCTTCCACATCAGTGTGTGCAATGAGATCATTCTAGAGAGGAGCATTTAAGAGCTACTTGCACTCTCCAGCCAAACCAGCCCTATTCGTGTTTCACCTGCTTTATAAAGTAAAACAGTCCCCCCATTATGTATTAAATTGTATACTGAGTTAGGCCATTAATCTGTCCAGCACAGTGTTGCCAACTCCGACTGACAGCTGCTCTAGGATCTCCTCTCCGATACTTGCTGCCTGAGAGCCTTTAACTGGGGATTGAAGAGAAGACCTGCCTGAAAAGCAGGTGCCCCACCTCTTATGCGCATTAGGAAAGCAGTAGGGAAAATAATCACACATCCTTTCTCACAACTAGGCTTGCCAGTTTTTAGGTGGGGTCTGCCTGGTGTTCCCCTGGAATTACAGCTGCTCTCCAGGCTACAGGGATCAGTTCCCCTGGAAGGGGGGGGGCAGCTTTGAAAGGTTGACTCTGTGGCATCCCATCCCTGCTAAGCATCATCCCCAGGTATCACCCCCAAATCCCTAGGAATTTCCCAGGCTGGAGGCA